TATCGTCCGATGATCTATGCACCCGGATATCACAGCTTCCGGAGAGCTAGCATCGTACTCGTACCGGAGCTAGTGCGCTAATCGTATTCACAACGATCAACAAGAACTCTAGCTGCCCCACGAATTCAAGGAAGCAGTGGGGGGATTAAGCTCAGCCATGTCCCTCCATCTCCATGGCTGGCGATACGGAGAATTTCCATCAGTCAGCCAGCGGATAAACAGTTTCGCCGGCTGCCAAACCTCGGCGCCATTTCCACCTCTGCTCCACTCGACGCCGCCATCCAATCATGAGTCCTGTGGTCCTGACGAGCCTTCCCTTGGCCGGTCGCTTCCACTTTGGGGGCTGTGGTGCAGAGCGGGATTACGTACGTGCCTCTAGGCAGTTTTTTTAGCACCTACCGGATCGCGCTGAGCCGCTACCAGCTGCCTGCGACGCAAGATGACAAGTGTTACTCCCTATCAAGAGCTATCGTTCTTGCAGACTCCACACAACAGGCGCTCGTCTTTCTTTGACATTCAGCAATCACGACTCCAATCGGGCCTGATATCCTGCCATTAGTCGATCTACTCGATACTATACATAACCTGATCTGATTACTTTCGGTATTCGGTTGATGCGACTGAGACTCCACCACTCACTTTAGCGCCTGCAGGCGCATTCGTCAACTCCCGCCGATAGCTATATTCCCGATCGGCCTTCCTGTGCAAGACCAAGATTCCGCTACGCAGCATTGCTACACCATGCGTCTCTCTCAGTCAGTTCTTCTAGCCTCTCTGGCGACTCTCGCCATGGCAGCAAAAGACACAGAGCCATCCCCATCCGTTCCTGCTCCGGCTTGCACAGCGACCTCGACGACAGGCTCCTACTTCGATCTGCGCCCCGATATAGCATGGCCTGAAGACTCCGGCAAGGCTCATAGCAAGGCCCAACACAAGGACTATTATGCGAGAGGGTGGGATTACGGGAAGAACTTCACCTTGAACATCTGCAACTCCGTAGTTGCGCCAGTTGCCGATGTTGTTGGCGTTTCCAAGAGCCAATGGGCCAATGTTAGCGCATACTACACATCCCAAGGCAATATCTACTCGATAGGGTGCGTGTGAACTGCATACCATGGACCCCAATTGCAAACTAACCAACCACAATCTAGCTCTCAATCTTTGGACGTGCAATCCCGTGGCCGCAAGCTTGTTTTACAGTACTCGGATGGTTCGCCATGCGGCAAATCGAAGTCCAAGTCCAAATCCAAATCCAAATCCTCCCCGCGAAGTGCAGACACCGTATACGACAACGAAGACACATTGACAAAACAGCACGCGCACGAGGTCGAAACATACGCCAAGGATGATGATCCCAAAGATCGGAAGAAATCTACCACCATCTCGTTCCTCTGCGACAGGGACGTTGCGAATACCCACCTCGCTGTCTCCTTTGTAGGAACCGATCCAGACGAATGCGCTTACTTCTTCGAGGCCCGATCGCATCACGCGTGTGCATCGTCCGAGCCGCACAAGCCTGGAAGTGTTGGCCCTGGAAGCATCTTCGGTATTATCTTCGTCATTGCCGTCCTCGTCTACTTCCTGGGTGGTGTCTTTTACAACCGCACCGTATCTCACGCCCGCGGATGGCGGCAACTGCCCAATTATAGCCTCTGGTCCGGAATGTGGAGCTTCATCTCCGTGCGTGAACACTCTCCGCTCAAATCAGGCTTGCCTTGAAAAGCACCCTCCCCTTCCAGAGCCGGTACTGACGTGCCATGTAGGACATGTTTGTCATTGCTACGGCGTCGTGTGCTCGCTTCCTCCCTGGTCGGAGGGGCTACAGCTACCTAAGCGCTAATGATCACCCACGAAACCGGAATTCCGATGCTGAGAATCGGTTGATTGACCAGCTTGATGAAGAATGGGACGATTAGATTTCTACCCTGTACCTTTTTTCCCCTTTGTTTTGCAGATATACAGAAACCCGGTCTCAGGCAGACCATGTTAAGTCCTGAATCAGTATATGGCTCTATTTTTTTTCTATGGTAGTTTTTTTGGTTACGCTGCTTATGGATATGTATGGGATTGCGAAATACGGCGTTCGACGGAAGAAAGACTGAGCTACTCTGTTGCAGGCCACCGCCGCTACTGAAGAATTAACAGCTGGGAACAAACAATATTATGGACCTCATTTCGTTCAATCATCTACCTCTTCCATTTCCGCATGACAGTCAGTGCTCACACACAGGCACATCAATTCCGCACTTGCAATATTCGCCTAAAAAGTTACAGGTCGACTCGAGACATGTAGCCATCGGCTTCAGAGGCTGGGGATGAAAACCCTCGCCTCGACCGAACATGGGACGTCGAACGGTACTACGGCGGGCCACAGGTCTCTACCGCCTATCACCATACCCGGTCTCAGCGACAAAATCTTGAGGTACCGAGAAGTGTCCTGGTACTTGGGGCAAAGGGGGTGTGTGTTTATTCAGGACCCTCAGGCGGCCACCCATGAGAGAAATGGTTGGGCACAAAAAGAAGACGCACTCTGATGGGTCATGTCGAAATTACATCACTGGTCAGTATTTGCTTTTGAGGGTTGGACAACGGGCTGGTCGGCCAGCGAATCGCGCACACATGCTTGCAGCACCTGCATAAGTCCGGCGGCTCGAGCACGTATACTCTCCGAGCCGAGAGCCTTACGCGACTGAGAAAACATGCTAACTACCTGGGTACGTACAGGACGAGCTCATTTTTCTCCTAAGCCGGCAGCAGTGGCGATGCTCGACACATCATCCCTCACCCCTGGCCTTTAATTTCAGTCCCGCGGCACTAGCTTCCCATTAGAAACACATTCTCAGGGACTAGTCTGGTGTCTTGAAGATTGTTCTCTCTCCCCGCGGGAGGGGAGGGGCATCCGGGCAGCTAGCCTCGACCGTTCTTTACGCGGGAGGGTGGGGTGTGGACTCAACTCTCTTGTTCGGTCGATTTGCATGGTTGTCTGACTGCAGATATCAACTACCAACTTGTTGTGATTGAACATATCATCTCTCACTTCTCTCACATCATGAGATGCAGAATATTGAGGGAAAAGACCCCACCACCACGATGTCTCGCCTCACCATAAGCCGAACATACATGGTAGCATCCGGGCTATTCCTATGTGGTCGACGGACGCTGGTGACGATCAAAGGTCCTGTCCGGCTCGGCAAATCAGATTCGACCCTCACAAGCTGCATATAGTTTCCTCGTTGACAAAGTTGTCGTCTCAAACCTGCGGCTTGTTCCCACGCTCGAATTCCTTGCTCATTGTAAGACCTTCATGCAGCAAAGTTGAGATTCGGAAACCCCAGCAAGCCACAAACATGCCCCGTCTCCTCTTGTCAACGAGGATGGATGGACTAGCGTTTGCTGCAGCGAGGCAGGCACCACGAACACGCAATGGTCTTCGATGGCGAGGCAAGTAGCTTGTACTTGCTACCCCGTCATTGTTATGAGAGTACCTAGGGTATCCAGACCGCTAAGTTCCCATTACGAGAACAGAACAAAGACTCCAGAAGAACGTACTATCTATTTTGTTCAATGTACATGCTACCTTGTCAACTGGGACGAAGAGTTCCAGGTACCTGTCTCGTTCCATGGGCTTCTATGGCACCCAGACAACCATTACGCCTGCCACGTCTGCCTGCCTGCACCTTGGCCATGTGCAGGATCTGGACCAGACCCTCCGTCGATGGCAGACCAGATCGGCTACACCCCTGACCTTGTCTCCAAGATCAGCAGTCAATGTCAACGGGCCTTGGCGTAGTACATTCAACTGACGTTGCACAAGTTTGTATCCAGGCTATTCCGAATTCGAATTTTCCCACAGGAGCATTCTCTTATGGCGGGCGTCAGGAGACGGGATCAAAGCCTTATCCTATACTATAGATGAATATATGTCGAAGGCTGGAATGTGAGAGGTGCAGAAGGAATCAAGGTCTCAGCCTCCATGCAGGTATTTCCCTCCAAGGTTAAGTGTGAGGGGATCGAGACCCCTCGAAGCCGGCGTAGAAAGTAAACACTCCCTAATCCGACGGTTTCTCGGTGCAGGCTGCCATCTAGTTGCCGTACATCTCGGGTCTCGATAGGAAGACTGCAGCAGCTTCCGTCATAGCCAAGTGATGAGTGCGAAGTCTCTGGAAAGCCTTAGTCCTCGTGCGGCTCAGTCGAGGCGACTATGTCGAATATTTTAGTATAAAACCTGGAGAAGTCCTCGAATATTTTCCATCTCTCTTCTCTACTCTCATCTTCACTCACAACTTCTCTACCTCACAACTCCTCTGCTTCACAACTTCTCTGCTTCACGGCTTTCTGCTTTCACAGCTTCTTTGCTTCACAACTTCTCTACTCCTTTCCTCTGCTTCTCTACACCGTATCTCCAGCTGTGATAGTCGCCTACTCAAGCACTATCGCATCCACTCCAGCTCCTGGACTCTACCACACATCCACTTACACACCTTCAATACTTCGGTAAGCAGCCTAGACATCTCCTTTTCCTGTCTTTTCTTATCTTTCGTTTTCAATTACTTTTCTCGTTCTTTTCTACTACACTGCCCTTTCTCTACAGCAGTCATCATCCCCTTTCCCTGTTACTCTCTCTACCCACATTGCCAGAGGATCACCGCCCTTCCTTGTGTATCAGTATGCGCACATGCCCTATTGAACAAATCATCGACAAATTCATATCGCAGAATCGTTTGATCCCCCATATGTCTGTACATTTTCTCATACTTTTACCCGTTCCTTTTGTATTCATATGTTCCCCTTACACCTCAACAAGTTACCTTAAACTTCCATCTATTCCCTTGAAACATTCACCTGATAGATTTCATGTTTACCTATCCCCTACAACTTTGTTTGCTGCCTTATACATTCATCCAATATCGATACATTCTATGAACCTTCCAAATACATGCCTTCCCTACCTCTTTATTCATCTCACAACCATCTAACACACAATAGGTTGACCAATAATCATGACAAACAATGAGCTGATTGAGTTGACCAATGGTGGTGGTGACTCGACTCCTGCTGTTCCTACTACCATGATTTGGGTCTGCGGTCGATGGACCCTGATTTTTCATACCGACATGGACTCTCGTGATCCTGAGGAAGTTCGGACCAACTTCCTTAATGTGCTGCATTTGCTCGACTTCAGCATATTCTACCCTAATTCTCACAACTTTCCTCTTTTTTCACTGGAACAGGATGGGACTTTCCAGCCAGTCATTACGGTATGTGCTATTCCCCTCTCGATGCATTATCCATTGTCAATGATCATTGCTAATCCGTGCCTCTTCGCGTTATTGAAGGACTTCCAATACATTGCGCCTAATCACCTCTTGATTCAAATTCCAGGACGCGAGCAATCCTGGTTCATCGAAATTCCATCATCTCCTCTGCGCCCTCTCACCTCCTCATACCTCTCAAACTTCTCAAACCTTTCTATACTCAACGCCTCGGTTCCTGATTACAACAACATCTCCTTGAGCTTGAGCAATGTACTTGATCCTCGACTCCTTGAGGACACTCAGGTTTTTGAGGGTACTCAGGATCAGCTTGCCCTCCCTCAGCCTGATGTCTCCAATGCCTCCTCGGCTTATTCTCAACCCTGGGAAGCGGCTCAAGAGTCTCAAGATTCCATGATAGAACATGACAAGCTTGGTCTAAATTCTTTTTGGCCCGCCTTTAGTCTCATGGCTCAGAAATGCATCGAATACCCCCAGTGCCCACCCTCATCACCAGTTCGAAACGGTTCTCCCGAGACCATTCACTCTGCATCACCTCCTAGCAATGCCTCTATCGAGCAGAGCGTAGGAAAGCTCATACAGAGACGCACTCGTTCTTCCATCGCCTCCCGTCGTGCTGGTCGCCTCAGGCCTGCCCGTGCGGCCAAGAAGCGCACCATGGCCAGCCCGCCGCCCAGGGGCCACTTCAAGGTCTCCCGGGAAGATCGTTCCATGGTCCCCTATGACAACGACCTTCGCGATGAGTTGCTCGTCCGTGGCCGTCTAATGGGCTTCTCCTACTCCGAGATCAAGGAGAGCGCTGGCATGCCTGATGCCCTGGCGACCCTGCGTGGCCGGTATCAACAACTCTTGCGGAAGATGGTACAAGAGGATCTCAAGAAGAAGAGAGATGATGAGAAGGATTCCGATGGCAAGAACAAGGAGTGATGAACTCTCTGGTTCATCCTCAATCTCCAAGCCAGTAACCTCTTTCATCAGAAGATGGGAGGCCATTCCTTTTATGACGTCTCTTTCCATCCTTTGTCTACTATTTCAATTTTTGAAAAGAAGAAAACAAAAGCCCACCAAAAAAATCATAATCGAGAAAATAGAGAGAAAAGCAAGGTGAAAAAGTTCTTTTGGATTTTGGTATGTCTCAGAGTTTCTGCCTCGGATCGGCACGGTTCAGGCTTCTAGGCCTTCATGATCGTCCAGTTCGGAGTTTTATTTGGCTTTTAACATCTATAAACTATCTTATATAGTTTTCCTCGGGGAGATTCTTTTGCTTTTAGGCATGATAGACAGTCCTGACTTTAATGATAAAATCAGTATTATTATGATTTCTCCGATCCCTCTTGCGGGATCCCGATCGCTTTGAGAACACCATGTAGTCCCTTTGCGTCCTTGATCATTGCCTCCCATTCCACCTCGTTCTTCACGAGCGCCGTCCCAGCCAAAACTGTACCGTTCAACGCTGCGAATCCCAAGTCCTGGCCGTCGGGCCCCGGGATCTTGGCGCCCTCTGCGAGTCTCGGGGCGATGGCCATGGTGTTCTTCGTCATGGCCATGTTGTAGCTGATCAAGGTCTCGCCCTGAGAGGGAGCGTCCTGGGCTGCTCCCGCACCGTCACCCGCGTAGACAGCCACGGCGTGGCATGCTCGTCGGTACAGTCGTAGATATGTCTGATGTAGCTCCTCGCCGGACATGCCCAACCTTATCACCTCTGAGAACACCGAAAAGGGGGGCTTACATACATCCAGGCGATCGACCATGACATCCCAAGCTGATGACTGCCCGTCCAGACCGTCCCTCATACGGGCAATGGGCAGCAACTGGATATGCCGGTGAGGCTGGCTCGCGCCGGAGTGATCACCACAATTAAAGAAGGCGTAGAGCCCCTGCTCCGACCTCCCCCCACCAGCAGAAGTGCCCTCCTCCGTCTCCGCGACGGCATCGTAAGCCTCGATGCACGCGAGGGTGGCCTCCAGATCGTCCGGCTCGAGGACGTGCGTCTGGTGCTTGAAGCGCGTGGTGGCGAGGATGAAGTGCTCCGGGACGACGGCGAACTTGTTGAGGACGAGGAAGTGCGCGGGTCCGAGGTCTGCCACCTTGAGAGCCGCGGGGGGGCTTTCAAAGGGGTCAAAGGGCTTCTGTGGTGTGGTGGTGGGATCACGGGGAGGACCCTTGGGTTTGTTTGCCAGTGCGGGGGAGAAGCGTAGCTGGAACTGTCTCGCATATATCTGTCAGTTGACCAAGTTTACCAGATTCCCAATGGTATAGCTATCAAAATATTTTGTAGCATTGAGATTTGGCAAGGGCGCTGAGCCTTACGGGGATGGAGTCGATGTTGAGCAGAGTGACTTGAGTCGGGAAGAAGTGCAGATCGCCAGACGAGCGAGCCTTGCTGAAGGCTGCTCTTACCAGCTCCGGCAGCTCTGCAGGCGCTTTTATTCTTGCCATGGCGTTTCTTCCCAACAAATTGGGGTAATTCAAACAGATCAATCTCGAGGTGCTGGTGTAGGTTGTTGGTCGCTCAATGTCTTATAGGCAGAGTAGATGATGCTTTCTCCACATCCATCTTCCACTTCGCCATAATACAACCCTTCCTGCATATCGTCCACTGTCAATTTTTGAGCATTTCCCTTCGGATTGGTACTCGATTCCCAATTGGTTTTTGATCCAAGCTAGAATAGTTGAGCGAAGAATTCTTTTTATTAAAATTACTCGGTGTAGCCCTTATATATATTGCCCTCTAATCTAAGACCCTTCTTTCCAGCTCTATATCCCGGGAAGACCAATCAATCCTCGCACAGCGGGTACAAATCGAGGAACATTGTAGACAATATACCACCCAATGAATGCTGTGAGGAGTCCCGTAAACTATTTTGATACATGTGGTTAGCAACTACTCCTGTAAAGAATGGATTCAAGCGGTGGGCTGCTTACCTTCTCAAACCAGGTATGGAAGTAAATAGCTGTCATTAACAGCATCCAGACATTGAGCCCAACAACGGTCATGAGAAACTTGCCTCCGATGCCAAACCCGAGCTGGCCAGATCCCTTGTTGTCGCCCGCCGCAATCTCTGCTTCAACACCAGCACCTTTGACTGCGCCGTCTGGCATGACCACGGTCCTCTCATCAGGAGCCCAGTTCGTCCATCGCAAGAGCGACCATCCAACCTCCTCTAGCAGGAACACGGAGCTCAACACCAACATGAAAACGTGACCCGAGATGTCATGGCCGCCCCTCCATTTGCCGCCAGCAGCCTTACATGCGACAGCGGTTACCACCTCAGCGACGCCTGAATCCCCAAGAGCCACGTCCATCTCCGCGACGTCGCACTTGCCCCCGGTCCAACGGAAGCCACGGTCGATTATGGGCGGACCAAAAAACCACTGGGTAACAAAGAGCCAGCAGAGCGTCACTGCACCCCAGCGGGCGGCCCCGCGTAGCCTACGGGTCGGCGACGAGGTAGACGGGTGAGTGAGCAGGAAGGCGGCAAAGGCCACAGTCGTCCAGGCCCAGCCTCGCTTCACGAAGATGACATTGAACAAGTTCGACTTGCGGGCAAAGTAGCTCGGGGAGACTGCCGGGTCTTGGCTGTGCGACTGGGATATCGGGTCGTAGGGAGCGTCGCGGGTTTGGGGAGACAGGACGGAGAACAGAGCGCCAAACACAAGCAATACTGGGAAGAATCCCAAGACTATTCGTTCGAGAAATGTTGGAAGGAACGGCGGGGTTCTCGAGGTCGCAGGAGAGGAGGATATCCTGGTTGAGGGCGGCGAGGAGCTGTCGTTTGCCATGGTGGCGCTGTCCGCTGTGGCTCCCTTCTGAGCGCCTCGACGGGTTGTCGGCATTGAGACTTAGATGCTGAGAAAATACAATGAATGTGGAAGTTGATGTAAAAAGGGTATAACAGCAGAGAGTGTGGGCTATAAAGCACAGCAAAAATTGCCTTGGTGTCTTGCAAAAGTGGGCGTGCTCAAGATCAAGGAAGCGAAGCAAACCGTCCACATCACCAAGTGCGAAAAGTGGCCATGACGTCTGCAATTCCTAGTGGAAGGTGCTGGCTTCAGGCGCGACCGAGGCCCCAATTCCGGTCCCGCCGGGGCGGTGCAACAATACTCCGCCCAACGTACGCCTTGGTGACCTTCGAAAGAACAAAACATCATTACTTGATTCGTTCATTCACTGTTCTAGGCCGTTTGCAGTTCTTTCCTAGAGTAGGTATGTTTGTTGGAAGTGTGCTGCGGTTGGAAGTAGACTTCTCCACGATGGCGTTCAGCGAGCACCCAGTGTCAGATCCTGGGATCCAAAGTGGTGATTGTGTTTGCCCAACTATGAAATGAACTACTGTACTTGTTGAACCTTTATAAATCTATTCCCAAACCGAGCTGAACCGGTCGTCTAATTCTAAATAGCAGTGCGCCGTCTCTTGAAGCCGTTTCTCTATCGTTACATTAAAAATTCCTCGTCTACAAAGTGCTTGAGCACAATGTGTCCTTCATCAAAGCCTCTTCGTTCCATCCGTAAAATGATCACGGCGTGACTGTGCCTAGCCTTGTGTATCCATACAGCGTACTTCCTCCAGCCCAGCGAATCCAGCCCATCAATCATTTCGAACTGTGCTGGAGTGAGGGCCAGTGTTGGTTGTGCTGCGATAGACAGTCGGCGCTCCCGTGCCATCCTCGTACGCTGCTCTACCGCCATACCCGCGTTGTCCTCGTCGCCCGAGGCGAGGTATTCTTGGTGTTGGGAGCTGTTGAGCGTCTCGAAGGCATGCTCCATCTCCTCCCGGATCTCTTTGATAAGGAGAGGGAAGCGATAATCCTCCACGTTGATGCCGCCCTCGCCCGATTCATGCAGCTTGATGCGACCAGCACTGCGCACATTTTGCACCACGGAGTTCAAAAGGTAGCCTACCACCCCAATAGGTACGATGACAGTCACTGCGAGCAGAAATGGCACACTCCGTAACCAGGCCATGCCCGACTCGGTGATCGAGGAGACTGAGAGAGGTACCCGCGGCTTCAGGTGTGGTGTGACCGGATTAACCGGGTCCAAGATGACATTTTCATAGCCCTTTACATAGTTAACCTTGATATTCTCTGGATTCGCGAACGGGTCGGTCTTGTGGATGCCAGTCGTGTAGTAGACGGCACTTCTATCATTGACAACGTTGTTGTAAAGCGTGCGCCTCTTGAACTTGCGCAGGCCAGACATGAAGATGGAGCTCGGATCAGCGAGAACCGAAAGGAGTGGTCGGCCCGTCCCGCGAAAATCGTCAATGGTGAAGAGCTGGCGGCCGGACATGGAGAGCGTCCTTGCGCCCAGCACGTTCCATATGTGGTTGTGCCATCCCTTCAGCGGTGTTCGAACCCCGAGGTGGGGTGATGCGAATGTGGTGAAGTTCTGCGAGTGGGCTCATCATTAGCCATCATTGCCTGACGATAATCAAATGCGCGCGGGCAGGTTTCGTCCTTACCATGCATTCCACCTTGTCGAGTATCCCCTTGGCGTAGAGCAGGCCGACTGCGTACCGTGACACAAGGCCTCCCAACGAGTACCCCACCACACTCAGCTTCGTGATCTTGCCGCCGTTGTTCTCGATGGCCTTCATCTCCTCCTCGATCTCGGCGCAAACCCGCTCGCCGCCCCGCTCGATGCCATCGTAGGTGAAACTGCCGCTGTTCCGCTTCGTCAGGAGGAGGTACAGGCTGTCCGGGTCGTGCTTGGCTCGCAGAGATCTGGCGATGTTTCTCATGTGTTCGGGATTTCCCCAGAGCTGTTGCTCGGTCGCAAGGAGCGTCGGGGTCAGCCGTTGCGCTATATCTCAAAGCTAGAGAGGGTGGGCTGGAATGCTCAACCTACACCATGTACCAGCACGCATAGGTGCTCCGCCTTCTGGCTACCGCCCTTGTAGTCCATCATGGCCAGCCGGCGTAGTCGTACAGGAGGACGCAGAAGGGAATTGGCCAGCTTGGAGGACTGCCGGTACAGTGTATTTAAGGAGAGACCCTGATGGCGTGTCATGTGCGGCCTGTTGGGTGACGCCGTTATCACAAACTGTGCTCAATGGAGGTAGCGCCGTTAACATGTCCGATAAGCCCGAGGTATTGGATACTCTCGATCCCAATTAAAGATAGGTAACGGGTGCAAGTACGTGGCCAGGATCGGGGCCATGGGAATTGGCGATCGAGCAGATGGACGACCCTTTTTTTCCCGGGAGCTAATGCAGGCGATTAGCATGCCTGGAAGTGCTGGTCGGTGATGGGTTTGCGGTCGCGTTGCTCAGTTACAGTGTCTATGACGCACTTTGTTTGAAGATCGTTGGGGTATATCGCCTAGGACCACGACCCTTTCCAGCAGTGTGCGCAGCCTTGGAGTATACTGAACCAGTCTGTATCTCCTAAAACCACACATTCTATTTAGACATGAACATATTAATGTAAACTCCCTTTCCCATACCGCACTACACTGTACAGTAGGCGATCCATCTCCCTGTAGTTTTAGAGCATAGGGTAGGAAGCTCTACCTGATCCGGCAAGGTCCCAGCGTTGTCCTCACCAACTACCACAGATCAGTGATTTGCAAAAGATGTCGATGGCAAAAGAAAAATGAACCTGGGAAAGCTGAGCTTCCCTTCTTTGTATGGTAAAGCATGTTAAATGTCCGCTAACATCCAAAAGGGCCCCAGTGGACATGGTGGTCGCTCTCTGCTCCTATCATAGCAGCCCCTGTCTCGTCCGCCTGAAGCTTAGGCCCCCTGCTACTTGCCTTTCACTGGCTAATCCCGATCCCCAAGTCTCGCTATCCATCGTTCCAAGAGAAAGGACGGCGTTCCTACACTACTTGCAATATACAGGTCTTTCACAAGTACAACAATCAAGCTGGATACAGAAGGCTCGGGATATCAAGTTACCTTTGATCAAGAGTTGCAGAACCTTCCTAGGCTTTCTTCTTGCTCCATTCGCGCCCTGCACGCGCAGGTAACTAGCCAGAGAGCGCAGGGCGGCGCAACCCAACGCCTTTGCTTCACACACGATCTTATTGTCAACGGACTGGACAATACACTCGCGCTTTATCTGCTTCGGATACCTAGTCACAGGGTGGTCTATCATGGGCATGAGCCAAATCTATATAAACCCCAGTCTCGCGCTCAACCAGAGCCCCCTCTTCCATCATGAGTATCAATCTCAAGTATATTCCCTGCCCAGCTGGCAACAAGTGTACAGCATTCATGTGCATTTTTGGCCACGAGAGCGACAAGGACAAGCAAAAAGAGAAGCAGACTCCCCAACCGAGCGACGTGACCCAGAAGTCAGCACCGTCTGACCGCACCGAGTCTCGCAAGACTGCAGCAGATAGCCAGCCTGGCACTGCTCCCCCCCAGACCTCGAAACTTGAGTCAAGCGAGGAGAGGAGCCACGCTACAGCTACCGTCCCGGCAACAGCTACAAGGCCGGTATCTCCTCCGCCGCTCAAGCGCCCGCCTACCAAACCACCATCAGCCCTCTCTGCCACCAGTTCCCCAGCCCCAGCTCGACCTAAGCGAGCTTTGGAAGGAGGCGAGTCCAGCACAATGAGCCCTCCAGCCAAAAAGAGGAGGCCAGAGTCGCTCAACCCTCGGTTACTCAAGAGCGCACCCGCTAGCCACGAGATTCGTCTCAAGCTGGTCAAGTTGCTCATAACCGAGTACAAGCGTCTGAACAAGGACCTCCAAAAGGAAAAAAGCGACGACGACAAACGTTTATTATTATCAGAACAGGATCTGATTCACAAAGTCCTGGACGAGGAGGAAAAGATTGCCATTGAGAAGCCAGCAGTGTACACGAACATCATGAGGAACAAAATCATGCAGTACAAGCGTATGCCCGTCTCCCAGTGGAAAGCAATCAGAGAGCAGGAAAGAGCCGCGGAGCTAAGCAAGGCTAGAAGCCAGGACGGGATGAACATTCCAAAGGTCGTCGAAACCGGCCTGGCGCCTGCTCAGGAGGTTGAGCTCCTACAGCGCCTGCTCACCCCGATCACGGACCTAGCGGAGTATAACTATGTTCCGACAGTTCCCTTAGAAGAAGCTATCAAGAAGGCCCGGGAAGGCAGGGAGGCGGGCAAGGGCTGGGAGCAGTGTGATCGCTGCCAGAAGCGGTTCCAGGTCTTCCCGGGACGGCGCGTAGAGGACGGAGCACTCACTTCCGGCGGAAGTTGCAGGTTCCACTGGGGGAAGACTTATCTTCCAGCCAAAGCCCCAGGCGACAGGACAAAGATTCCGAAGCGGTATCGTTGCTGCAACGAGAATGTTGGCGAATCGGCAGGGTGCACTGAAATGGTGAACCACGTCTACAAGATCAACGATCCGAAGACCTTGGCCTCCATACTTAACTATGTGGAAACCCCGGACAACCCCGCGGCGCCAAAGGACAGAGCGGTGGGCTTCGACTGCGAGATGGGGTACACCGTGCACGGGCTGGAGCTCATCCGGTTGACAGCCGTCGACTGGCCCTCCGGAAATGAGCTTCTGGATATCTTGGTTCGGCCCCTGGGAGACATTCTGGACCTGAACTCACGCTTCTCGGGTGTGTGGCCGGAGGACATGGCCCGGGCCAAGTCTTGGTCCCCTACTGACGATCTTTCGATGCTGTTTAAGAGCGGCTCGGAAGGGGGGAGCGAAGACGGCGAAGTCAGATCTCGTAAGACGGATCTCAAAATCGTCTCCTCCCCTGAGGTGGCCCGGGGCCTTCTCTTTTCCTTGATCTCTCCGGAGACGCCTCTAATCGGGCATGGAATTGAGAACGATTTGAACGCTGTGCGTATCGTTCACCCAACGGTGATCGATACTGTATTGTTGTTCCCTCACAAAGCCGGCCTCCCTTATCGGCACGGTCTCAAGATGCTCATGGAACAGCAACTGAATCGAAAGATTCAGCAAGAGACTGGGGAGAAGATGCTTGGTCATGATTCTGCTGAGGACGCTCGAGCGGCAGGTGAATTGGTCCGCCTTAGAGTGATGCAGGAATGGACCAAGCTCAAGAAGGGTGGGTGGAAGTCGGCCAATGGGGCACTCGTTCCGCCAGAGCAGTGGTAGTTCACATTGTATTACATAGTTCACGGGTTACTTTGGGCATTAGGCGGACTGATGCATTTATTCATATCAAGGCAGGGCTGGGTCATTGGAGGATCTTATAACCACGCATGTGATGGGAAAACTAGGGACTTAATCGAGGAAGAGTTACACAGCGAGTTCACCAGGTTCTTGACCAGAAAGTGTTTGAAAGTGGTATTATCCCGGCCGTTGAATTTGACCGTTTCATCTAGGAATACAGACCGTTGCATGATGAACATTCATCCATGGCAACGATAAGCGGAGATATTTTTGCCTTCTCTTGTACATTGATTGTTAGAATTTTTACACATTTTAAGCCTTGCCCACGGACAGAAGATACTGTCCACCCTTTCCGTTGCCGCCGCTGGGGAGATATGCCACATTGGGGTTTGAAGCCAGTGTCTGGGCGATTTCCCTGCTCGCCTCGATCTTTCGAATCTGGATGAGGCCGTCGCCGGACTTGGAGATGGCCTTGCTGATGGTGTCGGCACTCTCGGCCTCGCCCTCGGCGCGGATGACGTTGGCCTGGCGCTCCTGCTCGGCGCGCTCGACGATGAAGCGGGCTCGCTCGGCGTCCTGCTGGGCAATCTGCTTCTGCTCGACGGCCTTGGTGAACTCGCGACCGAAAGTCATGTGGGTGATGGAAACATCCTCGAGGGCGATGTTGAACTCGGATGCGCGGAGGGTCAAGTCGTTGCGAATGCGCTGAGAAACAGCCTCACGCTGGGTGATGAGTTCGGCGGCATCGAACTGGGCCACGATGGATTTGAGAACTTCGTTTCCGATGGAGGGGAGCACACGCTCATCGTAGTCGGCACCGAGGTTCTGTGTGGCGGGGTAGGTGTTAGCACTTGGTCGGAGATATTACACAAAGGTATGAAGCTCCTTTGGCTTACCTGGTAAATCTTTGGCAGAGCCTTGACGTTAGGTCGGTGCAATACTCTCAGAGTTAAGCTGACCATCTGCAAGTCCTTGCTTCCGGTAGTTGTGGAGATGCTTCTGGGCTTGGTGCGGACATCGAAGATGATGCTCTTCTGTAGCCAGGGAATCAGGAAATGTGTGCCCTCGTTCTTCACCTCCTCCTTCACACCAGCCAATCTGTCGAAAATAACAGCCCGAGTGCCACCCTTGACGTCGTAGAGAGACTGGCTGACGAGGAATGCACCAGCAGCCGCCGGTACCGACAAGCGGTACACAACGTTGAGAAGTCGCGCTGCGGCAGCAGCCATCTTGGAAGTTCCGGAGAGAGCAAAGCGGGAGTCCAGGTGTCTTCTGATATTGGTCGAGGAGCTTCACCAGGATGCTCGGCGATGATGGCGTTGGAGTAGGTCGAAGTCTGGTTCTCGATATCTAGATAGCAAGCTCTCGGACGTCGCTAAACTAGAGTCTGCTCTGTGGCTCGCAGACTGGCTTTCTCCGAGTTTTGTGGGTCCGAAAGCCGGCAACCTCTCAGAGGCTGCTGATTTTTGGAAGAAGGGCGCTAATCCCCTTTAGGACAGGACTGGCTGCTTTCTTCCTCAGCGTTTTCGTGACCGACCTGCTCCGAATGCCTGCTACAATCTACAAACCTCCAACCCATCCTCACGCCTTGTCCACGGAAACGTTCGGCCAAACTCAGCAAAAATGAGACCTACTCAGATGCTCCGCGGAGGCGGCGAGCCTAACCCCAAAGTCGGCCAGTGAGTCAACCCCCCTGTGATCCCGGTGGAATCGATGATGTCGGCCAACATTTTGCGGGTTTTCCTTCAATTGAGGCCTACCGACCGCCGCAGAGCACGCAGATGCTTTTCAATAGATGTAGAGGAGTCGTTAACTTCATCGCAGCTTCATTGGTGACTGGGGCAGCATTGGTGAGTCCTGACCATACCCAACTTCCATATACCCGAGCCGCGCGATCATATCGAGACCCGAGCGATGGAGCAACAACCGGATGGCATCCTCGACCAGCAATCAATTGAGCTTGGAATGTGCAATTCAGAGGAGAAGAATATATGGGCGAATGATCCGACGCGATGGCGGGACTAGGTCGACGAGCGGGATGAGCTGAATTGCTAACGCGACATATTTCAGGTGGACAAAAGCAGAGGGGCATCATCCACTACGGTCTGTCCGCCAACCGACAGAACCCCATTGCCGGCGCTGCTCACGACGCCATCTTCAACACCTTCCGCCGCACCAAGTCTCAGATCTTCTACTGGCTCCCTACCGCCCTTGCCGGATACTGGCTGATGAGCTGGGCCACCGACTAGTATGCCGCCTTCCCTGCGCTGTGGCCTGAATGGTTTTATGGGATGGAAAAATGCTAACGAATGACCCTTAGCAACCACTTCCTTAACTCTAAGGAGGGTCGTGCCCTGCACGCCAATGACGAGGAGTAAAAAGGATGGATGATGATAGACGAAGGTCGTTGGAATAGCACTACTGGGCTTCGCTGCCCGTTGTAAATCATTGCTCACTGTCATCAAATAGAGCTGTTTCCCTTGTGTCCTGTGAACCGTGTGTCTACTATCTCTTAGGGTGATGTGGAATGAATGATACGCCTAGTTCTAAGCCAGAGCTAATATTGTGATGGATTTCATGTCAAATGGCTGGGGTTTGGATAATACAGGTAGATCTATCGGAAAGCAACATGACTAGGTGAATTGGAATCAATCAAATGAACGATAATAAACGTCTTGTCATTAATCGATTGCTTGAACCCAGTATCTGATATTCTTCCACAGAGCCATAGCCGAGAGCTGGCAGCCGAAATCACGTGATGATACTCTCGGTCAGCGTTGTGGGGCGTTTCACCGAGAAACTCAGCGAGATAGCTCTGACCGAGAAAAAAAAAAGTTCGGTTTTTGGTGGCAGAAAACTTTCTGTTCCAACCATCCAATATCTACAATCATCATCATTTTTTGGATCGTCCCCCGAGCCAGAGTTATTGGATTAACTCTCGATCCTCAATCGATTGGTTTTCTTATCTGCAAGACCAATTGACCCATATTGCAATTTTCTACACCATTTCCTCAGGATAACCTATCTTTAATTTAACCTTTTTTTTTCCGCTACACAACCGTCGCAATGGCCGCCGAGAAGCCTGACAAGAAGGAGAAGAAGGACAAGAAGCGCAGCGACGAGTCCGGCGTTGCCAAGTCCAAGAAGGATAAGAAGGACAAGAAGGACAAGAAGGAGAAGCTCGCCGCCGCCCTCGAGGACAAGCTCCAGAAGGATGCCGCCGCCCAGAGCGACGCGGCCTCCAAGGCCGTGAAGGCTGCCCCGGCCGACGACAACTCCGACTCGGAGATGGAGGACAAGTCCGGCGAGGAGGTCGCCCTCGAGCGCACCGTCGTGCCGTTCGCCGTGCCATTGGCCGACGACAAGGGCCAGAAGAAGGTCTACAAGGCCATCCGCAAGGGTAAGGAGATAACACCCCAAACTGTCGCGTCTCTCGATGGGGACTGAAAGGACCGTCTGCTAACACTATTCCCATAGCCGCCAAGAACAACACCCTCAAGCGCGGCGTCAAGGAGGTCGTCAAGACCCTGCGCAAGTCGCCCCCCTCTGCCCCCGGCTACACCTCCTTCCCCGGCGTGGTCGTCATCGCCGGCGACATCTCCCCCCAGGACGTCATCTCCCACCTCCCCGTCCTGTGCGAGGACCACAACGTCCCCTTCATCTTCGTCTCGTCCCGCGCCGAGCTGGGCGCCGCGGCCAAGACGAAGCGCCCCACCAGCGTGGTCATGATCATGGAGAAGCCCGACGGCAAGAAGAAGGCCGCCGCCAAGGAGGACGCCGCAGACGGCGAGGACTTTGGCGAGACGTACGCCTCGCTGGTCAAGTACGTGCAGAAGGAGTACTCAAAGCAGGGATTCTGGGTCAAGGGCGAGTCGAAAGCATAGAGAAGAAAAGAGTCAATTGAGAGAGAGAGGAAGTTTGCTGGGTTGTTTGAATCTTTGTTCTGGGTGTACTATACCAGAGGGCTCAGCCCGAGAGCAGGGCTGGGCAGGCATGACGGCGTTTTAGGTATTGTGATTCAATTTACTGGATATATATACTTGTTTCTGGCCACCAAAAAGGAATAACATGGTATCACTGATTCATCAAAATTGAAGTTGCTTATAATCTCATTTAGGTTCACAGAAAATTTCTTTAGTACTAGGGATTACTATTCGAAGCCTAATATAAGGTACAAGATATGAGACGAGCCAAACTCCATTCCCGGAATTAAATTGCCCCGTTCAATCATTTCAATTAAGTCCTAGGAAATTCTTCCTTTACTCAAAAGGGTTGGTCCTGGTTCCCCACCAGGTCAGGAACACAGACAAGCCGACAGTCTCAAACAGCTTGGCGAGGACGTTGACACCCACGGTCTCGAGGGGGCGCCTCTCGTGGAAGACCTGGGCGATGAAGGTGGGCGCGGCGGTGGCGGCGAAGATGAGCCCGCCGAGGTAGGCGGCGCCCTTGTAGCTCAGGGTGGCCGTGGCGTTGATGAGGGCGCCGACGCTGTAGCTCTGGAGGGCGGAGCCGACGAAGGAGGTGCCCCAGGCGGCGATGGCGGAGGTGGCCTCGCGGGACTTGATGAACTCCTCCTTGGTGTTGGAGAGCTTGGCGCGCTGGTAGGTCTGGCCGAAGATGGGGCTCAGGACGGCCAGCTCGATGCCGTGGTTGAAGACGAGGCCGAGGGCGATGGCCGAGGGCTTGACGGAGGGGAGGTCTGTGTAGGGTTCATTGTTAGGAAATCTTAATCATTCTCGTACGTTTCTCTCATCATTGTGCTCTTCATCCAATGGCAGTATATGTCTCTCCTGAGAGAGGATGATGACATGCTTGACCACGTATGAAGGAGCTACATGACCAGAGCCGGGGCAAGCTTACAGTGCAGAGACATGATGCCGGTGTGAAGAACTGTCTTGAATTCTGTTTCAGAAGAAATAGAAGCTGTCAAGGTTGTGATGGTGGTGAGGGAGGCAAGTTTAAGTTAACCAACCAGCCTTGGGGGCTATTTGTACTGTCCTCCCTCTTCCCGGGACCTCGTGCCCACCCCTCATCCGATCTCGATCACGTAAAAGGAACCCAAGATTCCTGGGCCCAGCGCTCGCTGGCGCGATGCGAAACATCAGCTTGTCGTCACCATCGGCGGTAATGGATGACATCACCACTGTCGTTTGCCCCAACACCCGGAAGAGGAAATTGGAGTGCCCAGGAGCGGACAAGGCCTAGCGGGAGGGGGGGCCAGCGCTGAGCCGAAATTTGCAAGCCGCGGGTTCGATTCCAATGCCATTCCAGCAGCAGCCGCGGGGGAATCGCGCCATTGTTTGTTCTGGTTTTGCTCCGGGCTCTGGCTATAGTTTGCAGCTCATGTGGAGGTTCCTGAGTCTCGATGTGGGGGCGGTGGCTCCCCCAGATCCCGGCTGAGCTACCGAAGGCATCATTTTGCCCTACCTGCCAGTTAGATGACATCAAGAGAGAACTGGCCGAGAAGGACGTCTGGTGTCTGGTGACTTCATTGTTGGTTCTTGGCCCAGCACGTTGGTGGACCCTGATCCAGGAACTGCCTTGGTTTTGTGTTCACCTTGGAATGGTTGGTGGTCAATATGCAGCTGCCGGCAAAGGACCACACTCCTATGGAACCGCAAGGGCAAACCAGTAATCCCCATACCTCAGCATGGCAAATGCTCAAATGGTGTTTGGGAAATGATGTGCTCGCGTGCTGCTAGACTAAATTCGTTATTGATAGAGCTGCTCAATGGCCAGCAAATATCCTGTGTAGATGTGCTTGTGGCACGTTTGATATGACCTTAATGCAGAGGATCAATTCGATTTGTTGCGTTTTTGGTCGGTTCACGAGAAAGGTCTTGCAGGTTAGAAGAATCAAAATATCATATAAACCCAAACACCATTGATAAGCCTGTTTCGTTGACGTTCAAGTCTCTAGTGAGAAAAATGCTGAAACAGATAGATAGCTTCTTTATTCTATGTACAATGGCCAAACCGTCCTCCATTTCTGGAATTGGTTTGGTCAAGCAGAAGCTCGCCAGCCATGTCTCCTCAGCAATACAGTACTCTAGACATTGAAAAACCTCTTCTATGCAGTGCTTTGACCCTCGCCCCCGCGCAGCGCGAGCAATGCTCTCACATCATGGACGTACTGAAGGCCTTCCAGTAATGGAACAAGATGCATTAGATCATAATCTGTCGGGTCATTGATCCACCCTTGTATAGGAATTGCATTATCTGGCATGGAAATTAGGACAGGGCTCAAGCAGACCAAAAATATAGGGCATTCTTTTCATACCTTCATGGAATAAGTAGCTCAGCGGACTATTGTCCAGAATCATGACGTTACTCAGGTCGGGTTCCACGGAGCTGAGATCTTTGATGTATGCGCCTTGACGGAATGTGCAATGTTGACGATAGTACCTGGCAGAGAAGAATTTTCGCTCCTGCTCCAGCCAGTCGATAACTGGATCCGCGTACTCTTGGACTGAAGCCGTGAAGATGACCAAGTTGAACCACTTGCAAACTCGTCGCAGGAACTCATCACAATAAGGGCGCTTGTTGACCCAGTACAGAATCGGGTGCTGACCAACGTTTCCTTGGCCGCTGTTCATCCCCAATGAAGCTGCATTGAGACGGACTTCGACCATATGACCTGTGCTCATTCGTCCTCCTTTCGACATGCTGTGAATCAAGGTCTCGTCGAGATCTAAAATAAGCGTTTTCTGAGGCTTCCTGGGCGGTTCCATATTCAGATACGAGGGCTGTCGTCGAGGAATTAAGGGGCGAGGCGGAGCTGGAGTACGAGGATACTTTGTGAGGGCGGCGACGGGGGAGGTGGGAGATTTCAGTTGAGCAGAGAGCTCATCACCTCCGACCTCACTTGATTTTGTTCGCATAACGGCAGATTGGGTTTTCCGGTGTCTCCGTTTTTCTAGTTCATCGTTGTTGAGTTTGATGCGGATTGACTTGCGAGCTGGGTTTATTTCATCTGCGGGATCGAGAGACTTGGAGCGAGTGTGCCGTCTATGGTCTTTCGTATCCTCGCCTTCCGATTCTGATGTGACTGCAGACGAAGATACTGATGATCCAGATTTATGCCGTCCAGATCGCCGTTGCGCATGTGATGGGTCCAGACCACCATGGTTTCCTCGAACATCACCGTGCTTTTCAGACGTTAAAGAGTTTTCCTTGCGAACACCGAACATGGCCTTGATCGATGCCCATGGCGCGAAATTCCCATTCGCATCGCAAAAGCAGGCTATCAGGTAGACTCCAGGGGAGGCCAAGGTGGCAAAAACCCAACGAATAGAATTGAGAATGCTGGAAGTGAAGTCTCGGGGTATCGAGCGCCACCATCGAGACCGTTTATTAACTTTCTTTTCGCTCAGTAAAGGTGTATCTTCAGTTGCATCATGGTCTGGCTGCTCGTAGGCGGTTTCCGTGGTCGTATGCTGTGGGTATAAATCCATGTTGGTAGATGACATGTGATCTTGGGATTGCTCTGTTTGCTTTTCGCTATCTCCTGCAAGGCCGATGCCCAAATGGCTCAGACTATTGGAGCGGGAAGAGGCGGGACTGGAGGATGGGGTTACGCGAGTGATAATATTAAGGGAGTTCATCTCGAGGAAAACAGACAAGCCATAAGGGGTTATCGCTGGACAGGAGGATGCCGGACACGACGAGGGAGGAGTGCAGTGTGGACAGGTGGAAGAAGGTCAACGCTGGTGGCGATAGTATGGGGAGGAAACGGGACCCGAGAAACGGTTTCCGTTGGATCAGTGCCGGGCCTGGTCGCGTATCAAGATCGATGGAAAACGAGCGTCGGAACTACAAGAGCAGACGATGGGCGTGCTGGACGACGGACGGAGACGAAGCGTTGTCGAGCTGGCGAGAATGCAGGCGAGGGCTTGGATACAATTGGCACTGCGATAGCTGGCGAGTATAGAGCGGATGCGACGTGGGAGGCTGGGCGAATAGAGGCGAACCCGTCGATAGAGTTTGCTGGCTGGTATTTGGTCGCGGAGCAGCCAAACAGACAGAGCGATCGGGGCGCAACCCGCGGCAAAGTGCCTGGAGGGTACTGGGGCAATTTGGGACGATGCACACCCAGCTCTGTGAGGAGTCGAGAAGGTGGTGGTGGTACTTATGCAGTGGAGTGTGACGGGCCCGAGGCACTTGTAAGGTTGACGATTGATTGCTGGGGATGGGAGGATGGGATGCGAATGATGGTTCACGTGTTGGGCGTGGGAGGACGCCTGACTGTTCGATTGGCCGGCGGTACAGGGCTTCGGGGGCCCAAGCCTGCCCCTACGTAATTGTTGCAGCACTGCGGCGGGCCTGCCATTGGCTCAGTGCCCGCTGGCCTGGAATCTTGTTGAGCGCATGGAGGGGAATATGCTGGGGATCCGAGGAGCTAGCAGGCTAAAATCATCAAATAGCTAAATCGAATCCAAACAAAGAAAGAAGACAGCTATGCCAGATGGTTTTCAACCCCCTCAACCTCTTGATGCTCCGGGTGCTTCCAATGGGGCGAGCAGTGCCGGCGCACAGGACAGGCGGTTACTAGGTACCTCTACGGAGCAGACAGGAGGTAATTACGACTGTCTCAACGTCCTACCTACCTACCCAGGTACATTACATACCTACCGGAGTAGGCTCAGACGAGGGTGGTAGGGACGTGCCCACAATCTCGCCCGCTGAGCGAAGATTTTCAGGCGAAAATAGCCTGTTGCAGCGACTGGGAAAAAATGCCCGTGTTCGGGTTTGGGGCTCGCACCTGACAAGCCAGATTCGGCAGAAAAGTGGATGGTGTCAGACTCAACTCAACCAGTTGACGGCCGTCTTATTACTGCCCTCGGACGAGACTGCAGTAGGCGCATGGCCTAGTTCTCTGCACCGACGGCGTCTATCGGGTCGCATGGGGGTTGAGAGGTTCTGCGATGCTGCGTCCATGATCATTGGGCGTGGGCTATAGTCTGCCCATGTAATAGGACATGCGATGTAGGTATGGCCTGCGTACCGTCTCTGGATCATCCCTTCCTATTGACTCGGTAATTCAAGCACAAGCGACCTGCACGAAAGCTCGATCAGATCGAATTGAGACAGTCCGCCGATACCTACCTACAGGCACAGGACACATGTGCGCTAACAACACGACCCCTGCAGCCTTGAGAATTCTATGGTAGTTGTCCTAGATAGTTCCCTGCCGTCCGCTTTTGGGTGTATGTATTTCTTGCGAATATGCTGATACCACCTATAACGTCCTCCCCAGCAGTCAACACTTTCGCCACTTCTTACCGCCTCAATAATGTTGGGCACACCTTTGGATTGAGTCAGTCGGTAGGATATGGAATTTTCAAAGCCGCAGCTCAGTCGGATTGTTCAACGGACTGATCAATTCCATCAGCATGTGGGGTACAGAGAGTTGCGCTCAAACCACTTGTAGCCACAACGCCTATCAGAAAGTATCAGCACCCATGCGATACCATGTAAAAGCGACATGTGATTGTGGGAACCCTTCTCACAAGAGATTGGAAGGAAGATTTTCAGCATGCCGAGTTCTTACGATGGTCGAACCGCTAGTCTCGGCTTGTGATTTATTAAATCATTGTGTGCGGCTGGAATTCTGCTAGGTAAATGCAGAAAAGAAAGATACACATCTCTAGGTTTAGGTTGCCCTTGGTCTCTGGCCGAATGCTGCAGACGATTGTTGGCGTTTATGCCAAGTGCGCATAATGATTGTATTGGTAACATGGAACCGAAATTGAGCAGCACTATGGCGGAAGCTTGCGTCAATCTTGGCATTGCTTCATCGTGGGAAATGGAGGGGTAAGTCTGATAGGGAGCGATAAGGCTCTAGCCCCGACGCTGGTAGATGAATTATTGATATACGGGCAGGCATGGTCTTGGTTTGCATCAAATGGCAGATTGCCTGGGACTCTGCAGCTATGCCTTCGATGTAGGTACGACAATGGCATGACTTACACCACCTGCCTCTGACTTGTCTGTGTTCGCATGCAGCAGTAGCGTGGCCGAGTGTCGCACAGCAGATAGCTGGCGCAGGGAAGTGACGTGCTGACACCTCAACCGACCTGCGAATCAAGCTGTTCCAGATGGGCCATTTACTCTGTCGCGAGTCTGGCAATATCGCTCGCCGATCTCGCCTGGGTCCAGCGACAAGCAGAACCAACACAGACAAAGCATCGCCATGACGAAAGTGCTGGTGTCGTGGGAGGGACGGGATGGGGTAAATTCCCCCCACATGCCCAATTCATGCTTTTGCCTGGCCCTGGCTGGCGGCTTTGCCCTGTCCCTGGGGCCTGGAGCGGCGGCGGCCGTGAGGCTTGAGCAAAAAGCGGCACCGGCCCTACCAAAAAAAAGAGGGCTGTGATTGAGTCACGCTCGACCGGCGACTTTGCTTGCAACACGACAATTCCACCACCTCAGGCTTGCCTTGATACACGCCGTGCCCGACTGCACAGACCGAAACACCGCCTCTCGAACACTGCAGCGATACAAATATTCACATCTGCATCTGTCATCCAACTTGTCGCAGGTACTGGTCGAGCTTAAATCCGCCCCAGTATTCCCAACGTGTTCGGCGCCCTCAACCACCACCCTAAGCACCACTTGAACGAATTTCTCCGACGCCTGCGCACCCCTGCCGAGGAAGAAACCTCTACGAGCGAGAGTCCACGAGTTGCCGCCGTTTAATTGTAATAGCCATGCCTTCCGCAGTCGCGGGCTATGCGCCCAACCTCGACAAATATCTCAAGTCCTTGAAAGGCCAGCCATTGGAGCTGTCGATAGAGAACCTCGTTTCGTTCGTCCAACCCCGATAGCTTTAGATCACCCCTCCTAACAAGGCACCATGTGCTAACCTGAACCTTCCTTGCTTCCAGCCTCCTCAAACGAAGACAGATCAAAGGCGCCGAGCCATGCGCCGTCGCAACCGCCCACATCATCCTCCAAGTCGTCGCCAGGTCAAAGTGGCAGAACGTCGACGCACTCCTCGACAATGTCTCCCGAGTCGGCCGCAAGCTCGTCACCGCCGCGCCCACCGAGCTGGTCATTGGCAACATTGTACGCCGTGTGCTGGGCCTGATCCGCGATGAGGCAGCCGAGGATAGGAACGAGCCCCAGAGCGAGGACCCCAGCGACGGACATGCGACGCCAACCGACGCCGTACCCAATTCCACAGTCGCCAAGCAGGACTCTGCGGGCGGCTACCTAAACAACAGCCCCGGCCCCCAGTCGCGCCCGGGTCTGATCGTATCCCAGAGTTCTGTCAATATCCCCAAGTCGCTCTTCCACCTCCTCTCAGCCTCCCCCCCCGCAGACTCAGACCATGCCCCCGGGTCGCCCTTTGCCGGCTCCGGGACATCGACTCCCCAGCATCACAAAAGCTCCAGCAGCCAGGTACACGCCTTGAGATCAGAGGTCATCGACGGTATTGAGGAGATCAAGGACGAGATCAGTCAGGTGGACGATCAGATCGCGGCTCTCGCCGATGTGCAGATACACTCTGGCGACTATCTCCTGGTACACCGTCCCTCACCCACGGTAGAGCGGTTCATCCTCAGAGCTGCGGTGAAGCGCAAGTTCACAGTCCTCATCGTCACAGAGCCACCCCGGAAACACCTGGCGGAGGTCCAGCACGCCTCATTTAGAAAGAAGCTCTCTGCTGCTAAAATCACTGTAGTCAACATTCTCAATGGCGGTCTGATGGCGTACATGGCAAGAGTGGACAAGGTCATCCTGGGTGCCAAGGCCATCGTGGCCAACGGAGGAGTCATCAGTGATGCTGGTGCCGCAGCAATCGCCCGTGCGGCAAAGGAGTCGGGGAATGCTGTCATCGTACTCGGGGGCATCTACAAGCTCAGCCCAGAGACTCCCTTTGGTGAGGACGAGGTCATCGAATGGGCCGACCCGTCAAGCTATGTGGACTTCGCGGACGGGCAGCTGGTGGGATCTGTCGATGTACGCACCGCAGCCACCGAGATGGTGCCTGCAGACCTGATCGACACATACGTTACAAACTTGTGAGTTTCTGAATAACCATATACGTTCTTTTAATCAAAACTTTGAATACTAATCCAGCATTCAACAGAGGGACACATACCCGCGATCATCTCTCAACTCTGATCGCTGATCACTACAAGCCTGAGGACATCGACTTCCACCTATGGGATGATGCGAGAAGATGAAGGGGCTAGCTGCTGTTATAAACATGTCCCATGTAGACTGATATAGCACCTGTCCCAAAAGAAAAAAAAGGAATAATTATTTGTAGACCGCCATTGAGGCATTGACTCCAACAACTCCTTTGGCGATGCCCCGTTCGCGAGTATGAGACTGGATCTATGGAAGCCCACAAAGTTCTATGATAGGAACTACACAGCCTTGGCAAGTTTGGTGTGTAGTAACATTTAGTCGCCAAGCATCATTGTGTCGCCCACTTGCTAGACAGCACACTCCCATACAGCTATCTTTCTCCAAGCGATAAGGTACAATTAATGTTTGAGGGGAAAAAAGGGTTCCCGTTGCCTAACTTGTGTCTCGTGAGGGAAAGCTCTGTAAGCTGTTTTATGAAGATTTCGAAATCAATGAAGGTTCCAAAGCTATAAATCAACATGGTAGGTAGCTAGTTCTATTCTACATTCTGGAAAGTCTTTCACGTTGGTAAAAACTAAGTTTCTCAGAGCCCATGCGAAATGACTAGAACCAGAATATCAATCTATTGGATTGCGTGCTATCAGTTCTCTATATACACTATGAGTAGTGATCTATCTAGGGAATTCAAAGCACTCAATACGCAAACCGTTTTTGAAGGGGGGCTTCTTCTCGTGGCGACACGCATAAAGCCAACCATCCAATCACCTAGGCACGGGTGATCATATCATCACGGTCAGGGCCAGTGCCAATCCACTTGACCTTGACTCCAACGAAGTCCTCGATGTACTACAGAGACGGTCAGTAAAAAAAAACACAGTCCATCCTATAGTTGAAAGAAAAGTACCTGGACGTAATCCCGGGCCGCCTTGGGGAGATCGTAGAATGTCCGGGCCTTGGTGGTTGGCTTCTTCCATCCGGGCATTTCGTGGTAGACGACCTCGGCGGTGTCCAGAACGTTATGGTCTGCTGGATAAGATTCAAGTTCCTGATTCTGTTAGCTAAGCCTCAAGGCCTCGGTCCTCAAGAGCCTCCTACCTGGCCGGTATTCTTGTCTTTGTACGCAATGGCAATCTTGATTGTCTCAAAGGAATCGAGCACATCGAGCTGCATAATGAGTTAGTCGTTTTAAACCCGCTGGACTAGTTCTTGCAAAGCTTACCTTGGTCAAGTTCAACGCCGTGTAGTAGTTGACCATGTGGCCATGCTTCACAACAACGAGATCTATAGAGTCTGTAAGTAACAGCCAACGTCAATACAAAGTAACGCGAGGTGTTGACCAACCGAGCCTATACCGTTAGCTAAATCCTCAAGATTCCCTAGGGAGAATGACTTACCAGCCACAACGACGTCTTCGACCTGTCGACGTTCCCCATTCTCTCCCTTGCTCTTGGAGCGTTTCGCCAACTCTGTTACGAAGATGGTCAGTCTGCCGATTCTAAAACTGGGTGGTATAAGGTGACCCGTACTGTCCGAGATCCTCAGTCTTAAAAGCGCCGGCGCCAACACGTGTGGTATCTATGGTCGTTAGCTTCTAGGACAAATCATCCACTGCGAATATTTACGGCTGTCGGTCTCGACAGGGCTACTGGCCTCGAGACTCCAGTGATTTTTCATGCTACTTACAGGCTTTTACAACTCCGATGGTCTCTGTGATATTCTTGGGGTTGAGGTTCAAACCGGCGATGATACCAGAAATTGTGGTGTTAGACGAGGTGACGTAGGGGTACGATCCCATAGAAAGGTCGAGCATTACGGCCTATTGTCATCAGGACAGCTAAACCACCTGGCCATGTACTCCCAAGCCTCGGCCATGGTACATGACGACAGGCAGTTTGCCAGCCCGGTGAGGTCAGTAAAGAGCCGGCTTGCTTGGAGTGGGGGTACGAACATTTGCACCCTCGATGATGATGTTCATTCCACTCGTTTGTCTACGAGAATTAGTCTGCGGTCATATTTGCAGGAGAAGGGTAGGTGGTAAGACCAAGGAACTGGGGTTACTTACGCAGAATGCATAAAGCTCAAGCCATCGATGGCATACTTTGCGAGCTCCGTACGGTATCCTTTGAATCTCTCAATCTCCTCCTCGACATCGTACTGGAGAAGATCACCGTATCGGGCCTTGTAGCCATATGCCAGTCGGCGCAGCTTCGATTCGAAGAGTTCTTGGTCGAAGATGTCGGCTATACGGATACCACTTCTCTAATCCTAAGGTTAGTGGGATAATTGATCCTCTAGGATTTTGAAAGCTTACGGCAGCTTTGGTCTATCAAATTTTAGTGTTAGTATATACTTTCTTTTTGAAGGCCGGCAGTTGGGAAATGTGCTTACGCTGTAGGAGGGTCCGTTCACGCTACTGTTAACTCATGTTTTGTCCATTACAGAGGGAGACTTATAATTCCGCGGCCAGTAGTGCCGATCTTGCGCTCTGGTCAAGTTAGACATGAACAAAAACCCAAACAGTTTTCAAGATCACTTACCCTTCAACTCCACCTCTTCCAGACCATCGACGGCGGCGTGAAGGTCAAACTGTTGGCAGCGAAATTAGTATCCATGCTGCCACTGAGATTTCAAGGGTTCCGGGGGGACGGACGTTGACATGTGCCTAATGGTAGCATGTTAGCAAGTGCATAATACAACATGGCGGCGCGGTATTGCTTGGGTCACTGACTCTATCAGATACGAGAATGCGGTCGTAAACATTGGGGAGGCCCTTCTATCTCTGGTGTCAGAAACGATCTTGATAACTACAATAGTACAGCAAGAATTACCTCTTCCAATGTCTTCAACTCTTTGAAGAACGAAGGGCTAGAAACTGTCAGCATCGTAACTAGGTCTTAATGCGCCGAACGCGCCGAACGGATTGTATGCTGAGCTTGGGGGTAGAGCGAGAGACTCGCATATCAGGGCAAAACACTGGATGTGTGGCACTTACACGTGGAAGCTCCTATTACAGGCAGATGTCGTTAGTAGTGAATAAACGTTCGCTCGCCACTAGCCCGTCGTGACGATAGGCGTTCGAGCAACTTACACATCGGTGCCGATGTAGTTCATGCTACCGTCAAGTCAGTATCTACTCATCACAGGTGAGCAATTGTGGACAGCATACCAGCTCGGGTTGATTAGGCCGGACGGGAGCAGGTGAAAGCTGTTGGTGGTCAGTTATCCGCTTTGTCGACATCTTGGTTTTGGATTCGGTGTCGTAATACCTGTACGAGACACCGTTGGCGCTGTCGCAAAGATAGTTAGCAACACAGAACACAACTTGTGCCAATATACCACGAAAGACCGGACTCACACAATGGAATGGCCGGCATTGTGTCCTCCCTGTTGTCGTGGTTTAGTACTTTCATATACACCGTCGCATAGGATGCAAGGCTTACGGCAGCTCTGGCGCTATTATCAAGTCAGCGTCTAAAAGTCACAAATTGAACCGGAGAGAGGTTGAGTTCTGGATATAGAAGAAGGATATTAACAGAGGGCGAAGTCTGGCTCAGCAATACCATGTGGCTAGCACAATGCCCGACCCCCAGTCATATTCGCCCTCGGTTGACTCCCACCAATATCCAGAAACAGCACCCTTGTTTCTCGTCAAGAACATACCAGAGCTGGGCTTCAGGCGCGAGAATATCCGTCAGCTTGCCTTTCTAGCAGTCCAATGTGTCAGTTGAGAGGACCAATATCGTCTATCGCAGGGTAGGTATAAGACGTACTCCTTCGTCACCTAGGGAATCGCAATTAGTTAGCAACCAAACATCGATGATACACCCCGCGATGCCCCGCGCGGGGCACAGCGCATGGGAGAGCCATTGACATACCCCATTGGGCTCCCAAAACAACCTTGATAGTCATGATGTGCGACCGGGGAGAGTTAATCGTGCTGTTGGGCGAGAGGGCAGAAAGTCGAGCGTGAACCGTAAGGTAGGTTGATCCGAGAGAAATAAAAAGACGCGATTTCGGCGTCAAATTCGGAGACCAAGTTTATCGGATGCGTCACTAAATCTAGGTTCTTTAGGTGCAAGCGCAAGGGTTATTTTGCTCACAGGACGACTCCACTTATTGCCTCTTCTAGTAATATTTCTATGAGTTTGACCTAGCAGCTTTATTGAGCATTCTTTCTACCGACCATGGCCAATTTATGCCATCACGATGATAGGGCCTTTTGAAGGCATTGGGGCATGTTGCCTGGTCTGGAGGGCCTCAGACATGGCCTCTGTTTGCCTTCTTCTTCTCTAGGTCCGGATATAGACGCTTCCTTGGTGTTGAAAATTCTGCCGTGCAGCTGTTACTTGGCGGCAGCTATTGTCAATTACAGCCGCGCTACTGTTTGAATTAGAGTAGCTGCTGGTTGCGACAGGCTGCATGTGCGATACCGCAGTGACCGCTGCCCTATGAGATGGCAGGGGTTTCAATGCATCAACAATTAATTCAATGGCCCAGTTTACTAATGTAACAGTGCATGTTTTCTCGGTGTGCTAAGTATAGGTACTTACAGGCTACCCTACCCCAAAGCCACCCCCAAGCCGTCCAGGAGTCAACGGCATAGCCCCATCCTTGGACGGAGGGAGGATGACATCACATTATGGCGCGTGTAGATACCACAACCTTCCGAGCATGTCAGGCGTACGCGTATGCATTTGAAACCAATCTGGATGTGTCGGAGGAATGTCTTGTGCTGTGTTACGCATCAGCGTTCCGAGCCTCCCTGGGCCAAGGCCCAACCAACTAACTTCCTCGCCACTTCTCCTCTACCCAACTCTCCGCCTGAACTTTATATCAGTATTGTATGACAGGCATTCCTAATCAGCCAGATTCAACTATTACAATAAATATACACAAAGAGATCGTACAACCATAGAGCCTGGTCAGCACTGCCGGGCTTGTCTTCCAGCAGCTCATAGAAACAGAACCAGTACAGATCCCTCCAGGATGAGTTCATCGGCATATATTGGTGATGAACCACCACCACCATACTCAGAGACCAGCAATGATTCTATTCCCTCTCACCAAAGACAGCAGCCGCCGCATCCGACTACAGACCAGCCCTCATCACGACCTATGCAGCTCTCCACTTTCGCCATCAGTATCAAACCAAATACTCGGCCGTCGGAGATTCCCTACCCATCCGAGTGGGCTTCGATACACCATGTGAGCCCCCAGGATTGGGATGCCTTCGTTGGACGTTTGATCCCCGAATCCGTGCCCCAAGACAGCAAGTGTCTCTCTTACGAGCGCAAGAGAGCGATCGAGGCTGTCATCCAGGAATGGAACGAGACCTATTTCGAGCCCAGAGGTGTCAAGATCACCTTCGACGAGTATTCACACTCCCAGCCGGGCGGCCAGTCGAATTCGGGGGCGTCATCCAGCACTGCTCTTCCGCCCACAGTCCATCCCGGCCCATCATCTGGGCCCCAATCACAACGTCCTTCACAACCATTCCCAGATCAACTACCTCCTCGACCAAACGGGCAACCCACTCGCAAGTACATGTCCACGAGACAGAAGTTGACGAATAAGCTGAAGCAAGTTGCTCAAGATAACGACATCACTTATTCGCCTCAACATTTCCGTGTCGGCCAGATGTTCACCGTTGACTCCAAGAAGATCCAGATTGGCAGACTGAATGTCGACGATCGAGGAGTTCAGTACGGAGGGAGGCCGATAGGCCCTCAGTTCCCACCCGGATATATTGGTCAAGCCATAAATCCTCAAAACCGGCTTTCTCAAATGCATGGCTATGGGCAGAACGGCCCCAGCAATGCATCCGGTTATCATTATGGGGCTCAGCCCCAAGCATATTATGGTCACCAAGGGTACGGGCCTCCGAACGGCATCCCGCACACGAGGTCCTGGTCGTCTTCGGCTTCATCCCAGCAACCAGGAGCATATGGACCATATCAGGGACAGCCCTCTCAGTCTCAAATGAACGGATTCCAACCGCCACAAGGACCTCCACCGCCCCAGGCTAGAGCAACATTTGGATGAGTCCAGTATCTGAATTGAATCGAAACATCCTTCACACTTTTATTCTTTTGTCGGGTGTAAAGGAGTTATCTGTCATAAATTAGCGAATTGGAGTTCAACGCCAGTAGGAAACGGTGTATATAGGTGTTAAAAAGCGGACATCTTCCTTCTTTACCTCTGGTTCCCGATCTCAGTTGACGGCCACCAATCTCTTGAAACTTTTTGTATTTAATCATTCGGCTTTTTGTCTATCCTCGTTCCCAGAGATATATGCCTAGATTAGCGAATCATAAGTCCGTAGACATTCGCCGTCTATAACACTCAGCACACCCTTTTTTGTTTCCCCTCGCCTTCAGGTCTCCTAGTGCTTGCTCTCGTCCTTCTCCACCAGGTCGCCGACGCCCAGCGACCGCCCCACGGCGACCTTGACCTGCCTCTCGCTCGCCGCCTTGGGGTCCCGGCCGACCTCGCCCACCGCCTCGCCCTCGTCCGCGGCCTCGCCGTTCTGGCCCTCCTGCTCCTGGGCCTCGTTGATCTGCTTGCGGATGTCGTCCAGGTCCAGGCGCATGGAGAAGGCGTCCTCGCCGTCGGCGTAGTACTTGGCCTCGGTCTTCTCGTTCTTGAAGCCCAGGGTGTCTTCGTACAGGTGTCGCGCGGCGACGTTGGACACGCGGACGTGGAGGGAAACGTATTTGGCTTGGTAGGTCTCGACCATGGCGAGTTCTGTGTGAAAGCGTCAGTCTCCATGTGCACAACCAGCATCTCTCCGTAATGAAGAGACAGAACCAGCCTCATAGTAGACGTAGGCAAGACAGGTAAGGGGGAAACATACGGCTCTGGCGCATGAGCTTCTCAGCAATACCGAGACGGCGGTGCGTACGCATCACACTCAGACTGGTGATGTGGCCGTGGGGAATGCCGTCTGAAGGCTCCTCCTCCATCTTGGCCAGGACGTAGCCGACAATCTTGGGGTAGTCATAGGGGCTCTTCGGGGGCCTGGATACGTCGACGGCGACGAAGCTGAGCTGGGGCCATGACAGGGAGTGGTATAGGTAGTACTTGAGGAAGTAGTTCTCGGGGAGGTTCTCGAGGTTGGCGTGCTGGATGAGGGGCAGATCGGCGTTGGTGAGCAGGCGGATATCCATGGTGGGCTGTGAGGAAGGCTTCTGTCCTTCCGGCGGCGGAGAAAGAGGGTTAAAGGAGCACTCGTCGGCGAGGAGGAAAAGGATGTGTGTCGAGTTGCCGGTTCAGGGGGGTGGAAGAGGGCAATTGTGCTTGAACATGCGACAGGCCCGGAATTTTTGGGTGCGGGCAGTAGAGCATCAAGCTGTTGTCGTTTTTGCCCCACCCCCGGATGTGAGTTCAGTCATGCCCTTCCATGCTTGAATTGTGAAGCTGGCTGCTTCAAATCTTCTAAAGAGAGGAAATTCAGAACTTTAATTTTAGATAGGTATCTTTTCTGGCACTCAATTTTCTCCAATATCATATAATATAAAGCAATGTTACCAGCCGACTCTCTAATGCTAAAGACGGATTATGATAAGTCGGCAAAAGTCAATGCTTTAAATTTAGATACCCTAGAGCTAGACATAATCAACAACTTGGAGCAAGAACTACCATGATTAAACAAATATGCCTTATTTCTTAACCGAGGAACTAATTAGATTTAATCTTAAAATCTTTAAAATTGTTTTTGAGGAATGTTGATATGCTCTTAGTGGCCACGGGGAGACTAGAACTAAGTGACATGAACCTTCGCTCTTGATAAGACTAATGCATCTTGAGGAGTTGAACAAATAGCTACTTATGGAAGGTCTTCAAATGGAACAAAACCATGGAGCAATTTACATTTCCATGTATTTATATAACCTACTTTCCTCTATAACGTAGTACTCAGTGTAAATGTAATATCAAAGCCAACAATCCTAGAGTAACCTAGAGTGACTCCTCGTCTTCTAGTTCAAGAGCTGATATCATCTTCTCCAACTCCCTGATAACGGTATCATACATGGCCCCCTGAAGTCGCGGGTCCCCAAGGTCCTTGCCAACCCCAAAATCACACTCGAGACACTTTTCCGTCATTGACCTGTACCGTGACCCCAGCTGTGACGGTAGGGAGGACAGACGGCGAACTTGCTGGATGTCATCGGCTTGTATGTCCGTCCATCTCCCTATCTGAAGAAGTGCCACGCCTAAGCAGTGTAAGTTGATGTTGCGAATACCATGGACGAGTGTTGCTTTCTCCAACTCTGGATCAGGGGTGATAGCCATCGATGGCTGGAGTGTAGCCGAGGCTGCAACGGCAGTAATCTGGGAGCTTGGTGCCAGCTCCGTTCTCAGATGGATCGTCTTCACGCATTCGGAAATACTCGTGGCACTGCAGTCAAACCTCAAATCGTCTAACCGCCAGTAGTCGGACCACCACGGTGTTGACCAGAAGTGAAGTGTCGCTTTGGCGAGGGCTAGGGCTAGGTTGAGCTGGTCCACAATGGTAATCTTCTCGTCTAGTGGGCGACTGAGAACCTGGCTTAGTGGAAGTGTGTTTGGATGAGGTTTATTTTTCGCCATGCCGAGTATAAATTGGTCGTCCAAGTGACTGAAAGCGTATCGGTAATCATGAGGGCTTTCAAGATAACCCACTGCCATGTTGGACTGCTGAATCGGAGTCCTTCCGCATATTTTGGAACAGAAATTGGTGCTGAGAGCTAGATCGTCTGCAATGAGAAACTCCTTTTTATGCTTCTCCTGCTTTTCTTGTTTTGGTTTCTTTCTGGCAGCTGCTGGGTTTCTCGTTCGAGTAGGACGATAGACACGCACTCGGTCCCCAAGAGTTAAACTATTAGGTTTCAAGCGTTTTGGCGACCTTTGGTCCTGCTCAGACCCTTTATTTAGGCCTTTAGATGATTGAGTTTGATCAAAAGGGATCGACCATGCGATATCCTCGCAGGTAATTCGTAGTGGCGTGGCATCCCTGAAAAGCAAATAAGCCTTCTAATCAAAGTGATTCCCAATATGAGGATGCTGAGCTTACTTGTCTACATGGCTCTTCTTTTCTGGGACAACTTCCTTCCAGATAATGGCCCTGAGCTCGATTTCTTTCCCAATTGTAGGGGTGATGAGCAAGCTAAAGGCGTGCTGAATATGTAGCGAGTTTTTGCAGGACCAATGTTGGGAGAGCACTGTATGTAGAGAAGCCGTGCATCTCCTGACGTCCCGAAACTCTTTGGATAAGACTTTCCGCCGAGTGGTGACGGTTTTCCTCTTTTCCATAGATTTCCGAAGGTGCCGAAGTTGAGAGACAAGATCGGTGAGTGCCGCCATATCTTCTTGGAATTGGGAAAACTTGAACAATGATGCAATGGCCACTTGGATTTTGCTCTTGACTGATGTTACCTAGTATGATAATTTGCGATTAGTATTTAAATGAGAGAAAGGGAATGTTTTCCCGTGGAGACCTACCATTTCACTGTAGCTCGCATCAAGCTTCTGAAACTCGGCCTTCAATGCTGTAGTAGTATTATAGATTTCTTCAAATAGAGCCCTGTAAGATGTATATTTCCCGCTGAGACGATCCTGAAGACGATCCTCGAGCTCATCCATGTTCGTACCCTCAGTATCACCACCATCGAGTAGAGCTGTGATGGTGGGCTCGGTGGATGTTCCACCCAAGATAAACTCGGATTCATCGCGGAAGAGCTCCATTTGAACCTCAAGTCGAGTCCGAAGCTTTCCGAATTCCCTGGAGAAGCGCCTGTAAGTTCTTACTTTTGACAGAAGCCATTTGCAGCCCTGAATAGTCTCCAGGCAGAGTGGCACGACTCCTAACCCGGACATGGTGCCTCCAATGGCTTATGTGTGTTGGTGACTGGTCAATGTTTTCCTTTCTCCTTGCGAATTAGAGCTTGATGATATGGTAGAGCCCATACCGCTGGAATTCCAAATGTACGCCTTGTTGGTTGCCTTGCTTGATAGGGGTATTCTATTGGGCTGATGCTACCCATGCAGAGGGGCGCATGCGCTTCGCCAACGACGCCACCATGCACTTTTGGGACAAGATAATCCATTATAATAAGACAATTCAGCCCCCATGTCTGGCCATTATCTAGGTCTTACCAATAAGTACAGCCATTTTTGAAAAACTCTTCAAAATATCCGTCTGAAAGAGAATGAGTGCAACAACCCCGATGCCGAGTACCTGCCCCAGCAAAACACCACATACAATTGCCCTGGACCTCCAAACGGCATGCACAAAGTTATTCCGAGTTGTATTAAGCAATTTCCGAAAAGACCACATTGACTCAAATGTCGTCTCTAGAATTCACAGAAGCAGTGGATCACTGGTCCTATGGGCTCGAGATTATGGGCTGGCCTATGGATCTATGGATGAGAAGCTGTTTTCGATGCCCAGGCTTCGTAAAAGAATACTGAAATCTTTGCAGGGGACTTGCGAAGTGTTGCTCCATAGTAAGAATAGTTCCCGACTGTGCGGCAGTCTTCCTAACATCATTTGATGTGCAGGACTTCTACCCCTGATCAAGGGTCCTCATCACACCGATCTCCAGGAAGCGAAAGAAAGTGCCACTCGAGCTTTAAGTTCGATAGATTGCATGGAAACCGACGAAAATGGAGATACCCTGTCTATCATCTCTGTGTATTCTGCTGCGCCTGACGCTCTAAAAGAGGCGTGTTCTGACCTCGAGAACGAGATTGAGTGCCTCATGGCGTTGAGCCCTTTGATAGATGAAAGTTTCCAGAGTAAAGGCGAAAAGAATGCCCAGGTGGCGAAAAAACAACAAGCCAAGACCTTGCCTGAGAAAAGCAAAGTAGGAGATGCTATATGCAAAGAAGTCTCCCCGTTGAAAGACCTGGAAGCCGATGGACGGAAGATTTCTCGGAAGAGACCTTTGGAATCTGACGAGGGCCCCAATGAGACGGAAAATGCGGTTACCTCTGAACAGCAAGATACAGATACAAGCTTACTCGACTTACACTCAGCTACTTCATCGTTGACTATCGCGGATGATATCGACATTTCCAAGCATCCTCTTTCAAAATGGGCGTACTATTTCCCTCGGGAAGAAAATGACATGGAAATGGCAGATATGATGCACGACATGACGATGCGTTTGCGCAACCAGGAACTTACCCTAGCTCCCTTGTCTTCTGAATCTACGAAGAGAATCCTTGACTTGGGTACGGGGACAGGAATCTGGGCAATAGATGGCAAGTATTTCCCATTAATCGAATAATTAAATCAAACTAATAAAGCTGCAAATAGTTGCTGACCAATATCCATCAACGACTGTCTTGGGCTGGGATGTCGCCAGCGTGCAACTGCCCAAATGTGTCCCGCCCAACCTGTGGTGGGAGATCCAAGACTTCGAGACAGAGTGGGACTATGAAGATGTGGTTAGTGATCCATTCGACTTCATCCATGGATCTGAAATCATGCTGGCTGTGAAGAACCGAGACGCATTATTTGAACGAGCTCTGAAGTAAGTTGTCTGACCAGATAACACTCAGAAACCATTGGCTAATATCCAAGAAAGGTATCTGAAACCCGGCGGATGGTTCGAGTTGAAGTTTCTTGACTACACAGTTCACAGTGACCACGCAGAAATCGACATCGATTCTCCGCTTATACGGATATGGCATGAATTAGAGCGAGCCCTTGGGGCGCATGGAGTGGACACGGCGATTACGAGCAGAGGAAAAGTGGCAGATTTACTCAAGAATCAAGGATTCAGCGACATTCGAGAGATGGAGTACAGAGTGCCACTCGGAACATGGGCCAAGGGAGAGAAGTGGAAGTATATCGGCCTCGAGGCACAAACGATATTCTACGACAATCTTTCCTCGCTTCTTACAACACCCTTGCTTGGAACTTCATCCTGGACTGACCAGACATCGATTGATCAATTGATATCATCCGTTAAGGGCGCGATGAAGTCTAGGGGACTCATCGGAAGCAGACTTCATATATACTATAGAGTCGTTTGTGGACAGAAGCCTGCTCCCAATGAAGAAGCTCCAGCCTTTGACAACGAACAAAAACAGTAGATAACAAATATTTAACGGATAGATGTCAATTTTATGTCTTTTACCATCATCCTAAATCATATTGATATACAACAGGAACATTCCTATGGCGAAAGAACTTGGACCTCGCTATGTTCACAGTTCAGCAACCCTTTCGTTTAGGATGAACGAACGTACGGGCGGGCTAATTGCTGATTTACAATAATAAAGCTCTATCGATCCAAAGAAACTGTTAATATTCAGGACCAAAAATTGATAACTGGAACACCTACTTATAGATCTACCTTTCTCGCCTGTGCCACTAACAAGATCCAGTGAAATGCGCCCAACTGAAGGCGGCGGTGCAAATATTGAGTAGGTGAGAGAAAGTCGGCGATTTTCATCATGGCATTAAATAAAAAGATTATGTTAGGAGTTAGATAGTTCTACAGCTCTATAGTATGAGCCAGACATCTGGAGCTAATGTTGAGAGTTTAGGACTCGGTGGGTTTCGACCATTATTCATACACATGGCGGCCATATTTTCTGCCCCGCCATGAAATCTATAAGCGCAGAAGCCTTCACTATCAATCAATCACCACATATTTCAACTACCACACTACCAAAGAAGACTTAAAGTAATCTCAAGCCGAAAACTAATTAAAAGGCACAAAAACAACACACAATGTCTACAGAAAGAAGACCCCCATCCCCTGATCTATTCGACGATGTCCTCAACGTTGAGTCACGCCTGCACGACGCCGGCTACAACGACGGTCTCAAGGACGGCAACCAAGCCGGCATCGTCGAGGGCCGCGGATTCGGCCTCCAGAAAGGCTTCGAGAAGTTCCTCGAGAGCGGGCGCTTCGCCGGCAAAGCCATAGTCTGGGCCAACCGCCTACCGAGCAAGCGGCCAGCGAACCAGAATGGGGCTGAATCTGAGAAGACGCTTCCGCCGCTCCCAAACAACGCAAGGCTGGAGAAGAATATTGAGACGCTCTATTCTCTGGTGGACCCGAAAGTTCTGTCTCTGGAGAACTCGGACGCCTCAGTCCAGGACTTTGATGATCGGTTGAAGAAGGCGGAGGGAAAGGCCAGGATCATTGAGCGGGTGGTGGGGGGAGCCGGCAGAGCGAGTTCTTGAACTGATTTCTTCCTAGCATTTGGGGTACAATAGACAGGTCCGGGGTTTGGCGTTTAATGATACTAGGGCACGCAGTATAGCTTGCAGTTCAAGGGATAACACAAAGAAACGGTTCGAGTTCTTAGTTTAAGCATCTATTTTTATGTACATATAACAACCATTCCAACTCTACTTGAAAATCCGGCAAGGATATCTAGAAGAAGAGACAATGGTCAGCAATCACATTCTCCGTGGACAAAAGTTTCGTATAACAGCTTACCCTTCGGGGTATGATCGTTCCGTCAGGGAGTACTTGTGGACATCCCACTCGCCCGAGGCCAAGCTGGTACCGCTGGGGGTAGGCGGCAGCCCGCCAACGAAGAGATCCTTGGGAGCAGCGGCAGGGACCTTCTCCAAGGCCTTGGCCAGACCGGCCTCGCCCTCCTGCTTGGCGGCCACGAGAGCCTGCTCGCCCGCCTCGCCGATGAGCTCGACCTTGGGCTGGGCGGCGCTGCCGACGGTCAGGAGGCTGGCGAGCTGGGCCTGGCCGATGGTGCTGGTGGCAGGGTAGTGGCGGCGGTGGTCACGCTTCCAGTACGGGTTGTCGGCGATGTCGCCAGCCGGGACGGTGACGGGGTCGTCGTAGGCCAACGGGTCGTTGGAGCCGGGAGCTGGGTTTCGGTTGTGAGGGTTGAGGGGCACGCCGTTGGATCGGTTGGCGTCGATGGCGAAGACCTTGCGGATCCCCTCCCAGAGGCCGGAGGACTGGAGAGTTTGCTTCTGCAATTGGGGTAAGGGAGGGCGTTCGTTAGTATGTTGCGAGACAATATCCATGATCAACCGCATCGGGGCGCGGAAGCGATCAATTGAGCGCTCCGAGGCGCGGCTCAGGGGTATTTGAACATACCTTGGTGATTGACACCAAGCCGCCGGCAGCTTTGGCGACCGCTTGGCTCGACATGTTGACGTTGCGGATCGTCAAAGTGTGAATTATCAACGCTGGCTGTATAGAAATCGCGAGGGATTGGCTGTGATGATGGAGGTTCGGCAACTTGGATCACCAGTGGATGCTCTCCGAGATTTTACCGCTTCCCTCCACCACTCACAGCGCATGAATTTCAGATATACTGCTACTAGGTCCACTATCTCATCTGCCAGCAACAATTATACTGTCTGCATAGGTAAAAATAGGAAAATACAAGTACAGTTCTAAAGGATGATTTAGATAGTGCTTGATTATCCCTTCGTACCTATCAAACTTCCTCGCAATGGTTTTCTTTGGTGTTGAGATACGATGATGGACCACCACCTCGCCTGAGCTGTGGTGCTGTTGTCAAGCTTACTGAACAATTCACCAGCTCCTCCAGATCCAATAAACAGAATGGGGAGCCTTTAATCATAGGCTCTCGGAATGAGATGGAATACCTATATGTAAGTGTCAATCATCCTCATTGATCAAGCCATTAGTCAAAAGTTGCCATGATTAAGTAGGTTGGTTGGCTTGGTCTTAGTGGGAGCAAGATAATAACATCCCGACGAGGAGGCAAACAATTACAAACCAATTCAATTATAAACCCTACCAAAGTTATTTCAAAGTGTCCTATTCCATAGTTACATGCTGAATACCATCTCCTTGCGCCCAGCAATTCCAGAATAATAGCAAAAAGCACAGCAGAATCGTCCAAGAACTGCTGCAAGCCCGATCACACCCAATTGAGATCGAAGGGGGATAACCCAAGCATAAAGCTTGGACACTCAGGCCTTGAGCTCCTCAACAAGCTTCTTGACCCGCTCGACAGTGGCAGCAGGGCCGCCAGCCTCGGCAACAAGCACCTTACCGTCCTTGTTGACAACAAATACACCTCGCTGGGTGCCCTTGGGGGTCTTCTTCAGACCAATGGCTCCAATAAGAGTCTGGCTCGGGTCACAGAGCAGGGGGTATGGAAGCTTCTGCTTCTCCTTGAAGGTGGTATTGGCCTTGGGGGAGTCATTGCTCAAGCCGTAGATGGCGAGGCCGTCGGCAGTCAGCGGCTCGTAAGAGTCGCGGAAGAGGCAAACTTGAGTGGTGCCTATAAAATACAACCAAGATTAGGTTAGTGATCGATATTCTTATGGTGTTGTGTGTTTGATAAAGGGGGTTTTGTGTGGGAAGGGTTGGGCGCTTACAGCCGGGGGTGGATGCCTTGGGGTAGGTAAACAAAACCACTCCAGCCTTGCTCTCGTCAACAAGCTCCTTGAGGGTGGTCTCCTTGCCATCGTTGGTCTGGATCTTGCCGCCAAAGTCATCCAGGGAAATTTCATCACCAACAGACAGCTTCTCGCCGTTGGCCTTCTTCTTCTCCTCGGGCTTGGCAGCTTCCTCAGCAGCCTCGTCCTTGGACTCGGGCTCAGGCTCGGACTCGGCCTTGGAGGGCTTCTCGGGCTCTTCCTGAGCTGCCTTGGCCTTCTTGGCCGGCTTAGCAGCTCCAGCAGCCTTCTTGGCCTTGGTGGCAGCAGCAGCCTTCTTCTTGGGAGCCGGCGCGGGAGCGGGCTGTTGATGCGCCTTGCGCTTGCGCAACTCGACAGGCATTGTGGCTAGGGGGTCCCGGTTTTATATTGGGAGGGTAAAGAAGGGCAAGGCAGAGGAAGCACGAAAAAATCGGCAAGAAAAACTCGCGAGACGATGCGTGACAGGACGCGTTCAAGCTCGGGAAGCTGGCTGTTTGGGATGATGTTTGGCGGTTCGGCTGCGGTTGGGGAGGAGGGAGGGTAGGCAGAGGAGCGATGGTACTCGAGGTGCGACGGGCAGCTGGGCGGGCGACCAGTGCGCGATCGGCCCTGCGAGTCTGCGACAGACAAGGTAGCAGAGCAGCTCTGCCCAGCTGCCCAATGGCAACAGGGCGCGCGCAAGCTGCCAAGCTCCCTCCAGCCTCCAGATTCTAGATTGCGATGCGACGGGGGAGCTTGGGCCATTCCTTCCGCCGTCGTCCCACCCCTGCTGAGCACCTTGTCTTTCCTTTTTTTGGGGAGATAGTCTTGTTGTTCAGCCGGCCCTGGCCCAAGGCGGGGCAGTGCTCTCGAGGCTCCCGAAGGCCCCAGGCCCAGGGCCCCAACAGCCCCCAGAAGGGCCCCCTCACCTCCCGGCAGCAGCGTGTTAGTGGGGGCCAGCAGCTCCTCTCAGCGCACTACCGATTTGCTCACCACCAAAAACCTGCATGCTAACCGCCTAGCTTCTGCCGTTGGTCAATCACGCCACCTGCCACCGCTCCTCGTGTGTCTCAACCTTACAAGCCTCTCCGGGCCAGAGCAACGCTGCAGAAAATTCCCGTCCTGCTCTGTGCTCCCAGCCGAGAGCGTCTATCCGCCATGATCAATCCAAGGGTGAGCCATTGGGTCGAGCTCGATCCGCGAGGATGGGGGGGATGCAGAGGCAGGCAATTACACGTAGCGCCGTCAAGCTGACAGGTCTTCCCGCAGATGTTTGTGGCTCCAGCAGCAGCCTTTACAATGGCTTGCCTTCTTTTAGCGTAGGCCTTGTCTCATTCCCTTGACCGAGTATGCGCGTGATTGCTAACGGCCTGCTTTGGACAATGCAGCTACACAAGGTCGTCCATCCGTGTCGCACGGGAACAATCTGTATGCTACCCCATCTCTGTTCCACCTTCCAAACTGCTCATGGTGCAGAACTTTACTCACAGGTTCATTTGTCAGAGAATTCGCACCTCTTCGTCGGGAGATCCAAGTCAAAAAAAGACTCCTGAATCATAGGGCAAGAGTGAGAGGACGGCAATCTACCCTTTCTCAAACTGTGAGGGTAAGGGACAAGAGTCGTCTTTGTATCATATTGTAAACAATCGAGCATAGATAGCCGTCCAATGCAATATTTTGAGTTGTATTTGTTATCAAACAAGTGTCTGTACAATGGGTGGATAGGCACCCC